TTTTCTTTTAACTTGGTCGGAAATTTAACGCAGATTGCATATGAAACGAAGTTGAATAATCGAATAAGGCTTGATAATCGGGATAGTTTAAATATTATGAAGAATGAAAGTTTTGTTGTGGATAAGATAAACCCGAATACTGTCAGGGTTTTGTGGGTAGTAGACATGTCCTACTTGTCTACATCACGATAAGAAAACTTCTTGAGGGACCTGAAAAAGAAACTGAAGTAGTTGTAACAATCCTGTTCGTAAAGAATGATTCCGCATCCAAACCTTGAGTTTTGATGATTTTACTCCCATCGCTATTAAACTGACTTCCTTGGTATGATACAATTTAAAAGAACGAATGTTTTATTAATTCATGATTGGTAAATCCAGCCACCATATCAAAGCAGAAGCTTCAGTTGATAAGTAATTGATATCCATAAATGCTTTGCTTAATTAACAATCAATCTTATATTAAATCTTCAGAATCAGTTATGAACCTGTTCTTCTTCCTTCTTTAAAATAAATTTTATGATGAATAATACTTGATTAGGTCGAGTATAATCTACTAGGAATCAATATCGTAGTTGAAGTATATAAAAGATTAGTAGAATTCAAGATTACGAAAAAGTTGATAATATAGATTCATGTATAAAATACTAAATATTAAGTTAACAGATAAAATAAATAAATCGTAAGATTTACTTGAATATTCATATATCTCGTTCGTTTTACATTAAACTTTAATTAGCAATTTCGAAAAATAGTGATTATAATAATCAATAAATATACAAATCGTTTTTCTTCATGTGATTTGTACACAAATAATAAACTAATAACTTTCAAAGTGATCTCGAGTTCCATGCTGATCACATTTGGAGATATTTGTGTAAATAAAATGACGAGCAACTTGATTTACAGGTAGATATTCCGTATTAAGTATCTTTAAATGCTATATTTTACTATCATATGATCAGTCGAATAGCTCTACCGTCAGCCGTTCTTTTTCTCTAATGAGTTTGATTATCCATTGATAGTTATTGTTCGAACTCACTGATTGTCCACTATATTTTTTTTGTTCCTGACTGATTAATTGTTAAATAAATTTCTCTCATAGAAACAAACCAATATCCAATTTCTGTTTCGGATTCTTTTGTGCATGGTCGACTGTAATTTCAACCAACTAATAGAATAGTTGACTAAGCAATTGTCCTGCAATCAGGAATTTGCCAGGTAATCATTACATAAAAGAACATAACTACTTATCTGATTTACGTAACACTTAACCTCGACATCTAATTGATATTGAGACTTTCTTGTAAAATCACTGCCACATAGATTGAGTTCAATGAATAATAATCCACTTCTTGAATGGTATAAATTTTATGATAAAACTAACGTGCATGGACTAATAACTACTGAAATCTAGTCTTTTTAACCAAGCAGATGATAAAAATGAATAGTTTTTGACGGAATATTAACAGATTACAAGTGAAACTCATATACATATCCATTTTCTACATGATTCATAAACTTATCAAAGTTCATTTAATTTTTTTTTGTCTAGAAATTGAAGTAGATGCAGTTAAGAAACTTATTCATTCAACTTTGTAGTAGTTTACCTTATGAACATGTATAAGGGGAGAAGATTGCCATCGCTAACCCTCCACTGAATGACGAACATCCGTTAAAACAACTATTACTCTAAAACTAATGGATAAAAACTTATTTGTCGCACATGCTGTACTAAAGCCACTCCAATGCTTTATCATCACTTTCGTCAGTAGCGCATTTATCTCATTCAAATTTGAACGAATATAAAACAAATCAGTTCTTATCATATCATTACAATCCTTCAATATGTTTACTGAGTTTATTGGCAAAAAGCAAATCTACGCAGCAACCCATTTATCACGTAAATCCGTTATTAATACATCGTTCTCAAAGTAAACAAGCATTCGATAACCAAGATTTTTAAATTACTAAGACGGTGCGACCTTGAAAGTGTGCTTCTACTGAACTGGTGTTTTCCTATACTTAAATTTCACCAGTTTAGCTTTCTAGTGGCGACAGCATGGCAGCAAATTTTCTTTATCAGATAATGGAAATGTGAATTTTCCCAGAAATATACACATATTTAAAACACAATTGTATGAACGAAGAATATTCTTTTTAATAATTTCTCATCAGGTTCTACAATTATAAATCCAGAATAATAATCCATAAAATTGGCCAGATTTAAGGCAAAATACATCATCATTTGGAAATTGTAATATGTAAATCAGGAATTGTTTGTTATATAAAATAAAATCGTTAATGTTGGGATGACTAATATGAAGTGTTAACTTGAATCAGTTTATAAGTGAAATGAAATTGTGAGATAAATTATCAGAATAAATATGGTCAACATGGGGTAGGAGAGAGAGAGAGAGGGAGAGAATATTGTGATTACAAATCGGAAATTGCGTAAAATGTAAAATAATTGGGTCAAATGTAGTAGATTTAGGGGTGGATATTGAATAAATTCCTCAAAAAAGGTTATCAAGTGTAAAGACAATAATAGTAATAATAGGAGTAGTAATAATAATAATAAGTTTGGGACATAAAATGAACATTAGTCAGATTACGTCACCACATTATAAGATTGATTATTAGCTAGTTGACCAGGGTAAAAGTAGTGGCTGAACATACTTCTTTTGGATACAAAGCTCTGGCTTTTTGATCCGAATAGCAATTGCTTCAGCCGTCTGTAGGATTCGCAGTCTGACGGAATTAGGTAGACTGCTGTTGACACGATAGACTATTGCAAAACATTGCTCCATGTTGGCTGTATGTCCTGTTTGAATTAAATGGTCTAAGATGGAGCTGTTAACAGTTTAGACAACACCTTTGCTTAATCACACGGGTAGGTGCTCACGAGCCCGAATGTTCAAGTTCCTACAACATCTGCCAACATAACTTCCTCCACAGCAGCAGTTGAATTGATAGATACAGAAGGAGTTGGCTAGACTAGGTAATTTATCTTTCAACCTCGGAGTGATTATTGGTCGTGTGGAGAATACTAGTTGTAGTTTAGATGCGTTAAAAGTCCTTTGAATTGATCTACTTAACTTAAGTCTTAACATTTCACTCGGCACGTCGCCTCTGAATTGTAAGCGTATATATAGAGGCTTTTTATTTACCGTTGGGCATTCTCTACGCTGTCTTTTATTGGCGAAGTTTTTAATTAATTTATTTATAAAAAACAATTCCTGATTCACATATTACAATTTCCGAATGATGTATTTTCCGTTAAATCTGGTCAATTTCATGGATTATTAATCTGGATTTATAATTGTAGAATCTGATGAGAAATTATTGAGAACATTGTTCGTTCATACAATTGTCTTTTATTACACATATTTCTCGATAGACTGGATCTGACACTATATTTGGGAAAAGGCGAACGATATTCTGGGGCAAAACAAGTTATGTGGATACGAATTTTACAGGTAGGAAAGTGCTTCTCTCCACAAGATGGTTGCCTGAGTATTTATCCTCAAACCCTAATGTTTACTACTTATTCAGTTGCTACTTCTTCCCATTCATGATACACTGTGTGCATTATTCCCAACGTGATTATCTACCGTTTGTCTAAAGGATAACCAAAAAGGAAAATCTGCCAAAGAATGTGCTGTTATTTCACGTATATTTGCTGACAACAACTTTAAAATATTCCAAAGTTATTTTTCCTTCTTATCTAGATAAAAAAATAAATCAATTATCTAACGCTTCATACAAACTTCCTCATGAAGACTGATTAAAGTGACAAGTACATCTCAACAAGTTAGTAGTGGTCATTCGTAATATAACGAATTGATATAGCCAATATATATATATATATATATATATATATATATATATATATAGCCTGTAAACTGTTTACAAAAGACTAATACTAATATTATTAAACATTAATCACTTGGGAAATGGAACAGCAAGCGTATACAGAAAGAACCGCAGTAGTAACAAGATAGAGACGAATCACTTCGACAGCTGATTGTGTTTGTCAAAAAGTACAATTTCATGATTGGTTTCAAAAAAGAATCGAATGTCCTAGGCGTTTAACAAAATTGTCATTGTGCGGATGATTTTTATGGATCAGGGCGAACACTACCCCCTCCCCCGGAACGTCCACCAGGTTCGCTCACCGTAATCACTTTTAAACCACCTAATTATTCATACAAACGTAAATTCCGCATGCTCCAGGTAGTTTTTTCTGCAGCAGTCGCTAACTGAACAGTCTTGTTGCATCGACTGATCCACAGTTCACCTGTCTGATCATCGAGTGCTAAGACCCCTAAAGGGACCATGTGATGCGTTTCGTTAGAAATCAGTTGTCCTCCTAACATGACTAAAGTGGACTCTTCTAATTGTTTAATTGTTAATATTATACCTATTCTCAACGTTTATTATTATAAACAAGAAAATCACCATACTGTATCAAAGGTAAATGTTATACCAACCTTTGATCAGTTTATTTATTAGATCGTTCTCTTGATGATAGTAAAGTAGTACTCAATGTTGCATTTTTTTCGGTTACAGCCGCTCGTTATTCCCACATAATAGAAAATGGAATGTCACTTAACGGTAAAGATGGATCTTTTTCAATATTCAGCTTCCTATTTCTGCAACACCGCTCTACTTGTTAGAGAAAATCTCTTGACTGTCAAGACCTTTGGATCTTGATCGACGAGCCTAACAGAATGTGACATTTCCAGCCACAGTTATATTGTTAACCTTTTAAAAGTACCGAAGTTTGTTAATGAATGGGAATTCTACTCTTTAGCTCTCAACTCCGAACACTAGTCTAAAATGAGATTTCCTGTGGACATGTAAGATAACAAACCAAAGTAGTTAGGCTAACCGTGTTATATGACATTAATTCCACCCGTTTTAGTATGAGGTATCCCTAATTTATAAAATATAGATAAGAAACTTCTTGTAGTCAAGTACTTTAGAAATGTACCAAAACTACGGGGCAGAAAGTAATTAATATCAAACTGTAATCATACAAATTAAAACTATATATAAAATATCATACAGAAAGAAAAAAACCAACACATTGTTATATACTGACTAATTGATTAGTATATACAATTTTCATTATCTTTACAAGTCAATAAATCAAAGATTATATTCGTAATTCATCACATTTGTTTATTTAAACGATCTTGAGTTGCTTGTTGTTGTTTTCTTTGTGCAGCTAAAATAGCAGCAAGAGCTGCTTGTTGTTGTTGTTGCTGAAATTGACTTTGAACAATTTGCTGTTGTTGTTGTTGTTGGGATGAGGCAATCACAGCTTGTAATAATGCTGCATTATTCATTGAAGCTAATTGTTGTTGTTGTCTCTGATGTAAAATTGACGCTTGCAACGATAATAAACGCTGTTGCAATTGCTGCGGTAATAAATTTGACTGTACAGAAGTACCGGAAAACTATAAAATAATAAATTATCAAGAAGAAAAGTTATAGGAATAATAAAAATGAACTACTTTCTAGAATAATCGTTAGAAGTTAGTCATCAGTACTCGATAATTGTTTTTTGCTTGTTGCTTCAATCAGTTTACAACAGAAGCTAATTTTACATGGATTAATGTTGTTAAAAATATCAGATTGATAATTAATTCTGTTGGAATAAGCGAATTGTTCTATTGCAAAGTGCGATTACTTTTTGACTTTCTAAGTTAGAATTATAAACCGAATGTAATAGCTTAGTTAGGTCATAAAGGCAATTAAAAAAAACTAACCATCTGTTCGAAGTCATGCAACAAAAATGGGTGATTGGTATGTAAAATAAACAAAATGAATACACAGAAATGTACAGCATAGAAGAAATGCACAAACATATTCAAATAACGAAAATTCATAATAACCCCTAAACTTAATGAAAAAAGATATAATTTGAATATAAGTAATGAAATTTTAAAATTAAGTACCTAGTGTATCACAATCGTGGAGTACTAAGTTTTATGTTGAGTTGAAGAACTAAGGGCATACAAGAATTTGAATAATAATAGATGCCTCATCAAGATACTAAATTTGGTGAACCTAAAGCGACGTGATAACTAAACAGTTAAAGGTCTATGTGGAAGTTAATGATCAAAATACACAACAACCATCCTCAAATTATCGAGTCTGTGTACCGAAACTGTTAACTATCGTATTCAACAATGCATCAAAAGAATAACGCCCCGATGGAGTGAATGGTGCTAAATGTTTTACTGACTTATTGTCTACGTGACCCCTACTCTTAAGAGATTATGGATTTATGGGTATTAACGCCAAGGTTAGACTTTATAGTGGTTAACATTAAGTCACGAAACGTCAAAAATATGATTTTTCTACCCATCGGGATATAAAAAAACTATATTTATTGTATTAGAGATTGGAATACATGGTGGTTTAGGATCATTAGTATATTTTTTCAATTAAATTTATTTTGAGCAAGCTGACTAATTTTCATGCTTAAAAGGTATATGATTACAGCAAAATTGATCATACATTTCTGACTAGTTATAAAACCTGTGTTGAATACTTCACTTATTTAAGCGAGTATGTTTAGAATAATTGAAGAGAATCATTACTGGATACGTTGTTTGCAATTTCAGGAACTCAAATATTTGTATTCCCATATAAAATTATACTGCAGCAATTATCAAGAGTCTGAATGTTGATGTGATCCAAAAAGCATACCTACACTAACTAATGAATTTAAATCTTGACGAGATTTGGGATGTATAAATTAGTACTGTAGTAATTTAATATCAGGAAGCAAACATAAAAATAGAATAAGATTACATTTTTTTGATCATACGCCCTTTGGAAAATTTAAAATACAACACAACAAAAGTACCTCTGAATTTGAAGAAGAGACAGGAAATTGTGTTGAACTCGCACCAAGAGTTTGGTGAGAATTTGAAAGAGCTGTAGCTTGTTGACACTGTTGCTGCTGCTGGTGCTGTTGTGCTGCAGCAATTATTGCAGCCATAGAAGCTATTTGATTTTGGGTCGATGGATTTACTGCACCACTGGAAAGAATAGAAGTATTGAGACCAGATCTTAAGAGGCCTAACTGTAATGCAGCTGGTAATGAATTGGCAGCGTTAATGATAGAAGCTATACTAGTAGGAGTAGCGACAGTCAAATTAGCAGGAGTAGCAGCGGATGGAGTGATGACAGGAAGTCGTCTTTCTTGAGCGCTCTTTAACTGATCACCAGCAGGACTTGCTGTTGCCAAAGCAAGAGCACGTTTCTGCCATTGAGCTATTAACTGCTTTTGTTGGTGTTGTGCAGCTAACAGAGAAGCTGTTACTAGATTTGGAGCAATATTGAATCCAGATAGCTAAAATGTAATTTAATCATTAAAAATAAAATAATAAAACCCAGATACAAACAATGTATACTAATTATCTTTTATACAGCAGAGGAATACGAAAATAGGGTCAGGAAAGACAGATTATACTCACTGAATGATAAATATGTAGAAATATCATATTCATATCAAGCCAAGATTTTTTCCTCAATATCACTATAATAATGTATACTATATTGCAAATGATTATGTCCAGAAAATCGATTGAGGTATAAGTGATTGATGAAAAAAGTCGAGCGGGAAAACCACATAGTATAATGTGATTAGAATTCACTGCCTATTAGTGTCGAACTAGGTAAAGCTAAGACTACGGTTTCAAAAATACAGCTTTTATGAACTACCAAGCATATTTAAACTTACCTGAGATTGTTGAGCAATCAATTGGTTCAGTAACTGTTGTTGATTGACTGACTGAATTGTATTTGCTGAGGAATGAATATTATTATTGTTATTAGCTTGAACAGCTGATTGTAATGCGGCTGCCGCAATTAGTTGTTGTAATTGTGCTTGCTGAATGGATGCAGATAACTGATTGACTTCCGGTTTAACGTTACCAGAGAATGATGTGGATGTATTAGGTTGCTCTATTGTTAGACTGGATGTAATATGTGGATTATTGACAGATCCGAGATATATTTGTGAAGCTTCATTTCCATTAGCCTTATTACAAAGTTAGAAAAATATTACATGAGAAATATCAAAAATTACCAGAAGTTGGAAAAAGGGAATAGTAGTAAAAAAGGGATTGAAATTCATAATATTGAGCAAGAATTTTGAGAATTACGACTTGGGTGGATGTATAATACAATAAATCTGGAAGAATTTTCTTTTATTTCCCATGAGTATGAATTGAGAAAGCATTAAATAACACACTAGATGAATAATGATTTGTACAGTTATGCTGAAATGAAATTTATAAAAATCGAAATCCACATGAATGGTCATTAGTGTTTCAACAATAACTTAGGGATCCGAATAAACATACATCCGTTCAAGTTGTGATAAATCATATCAGAACAGCCACAAAAAATTAAAGACGGGAATTGAAGGATTCAATATAATAAATATTAATAGGAGTAGTAAATCAAATAGTGGGTATACATATATTTCACAAGGAACGAATGAAATCGTGAAGTACAAAATATTACTATACTGAAGATTCAAAAAAACGGTAGCATGAATCTCAGCACCTCATTGCAACTGACCTTTATGTAACAATACATTTTACAAATATCAATAAGGTGTCAAAAGTTTTTAAAAAATAATATTCCTCACAAATTAACATAATCACTGAAGTTCAAATTATCTGACCTAAAAGAGAAACATTAACAAAAGGATTGAATCCATCAAACCCAAACAGTATCAAATATTATAAGTGAATACTAAGTAAACCTTTGCATGGATCAAAAATTAATTCATTACTGAAAAACAAATGAACTTATACTATAGTTTGTCAATATGATTTTATTTTGCTCGATTGTATCACACAACAATCACCATGTTTACACAACTAAAGGAACGTTTAGAGACTAACTTATTAAAATAATCAAGTGAGAACCAAAGTCTTATCATGTAAATAAGAAATAGTGTGATAAGTCTATGCAAATACACAATAAACGCACCTGATGTTGATAAGTAGCTCCACACAGAGCAGATAACTGTTGTTGTTGTTGCAACTGTTGTTGCTTTAAAAGTATTGCTTCAGCTGATAATTGTTGTGGAACTGCGGTTTCAGTGACATTAATATTACCAGGAGTTGTTATGCTACCACTTGGTATGGTTGAGATTAATGGAGTATTAGCAGCAGCATATAAGGGTAGTAACGAAGGAGATGAATAAATAACATTAGCAGGAGTAAATACAATGGAGGCTTGACTTTGTTGCTGTTGTTGTTGAAGAAGCGCTAACTGTCGCTGTACTTGTTGCTGTTGTAGAAAACTATATTCACAGGGAATTTGATTTAATCTTGACTCATCAGGCATCAGAATCCCACTCCGACGTAAAGCATGTTCTTTAGCTTGCTCTTGTAACGCTAAAATGGTAAAAAGTGACAAAATTCTCAATAAAGTTACAACAGAGAGCTCGTCATTGAATTTTATAGTGATTTTTTATTAGTCTCTGGTTGATAATGTTATTATTTCTATTACTCTAGTGTTTGTCATGATATTTTTATTATGCTGTACTAACATTGTTTGGCAACTTCAGCTAGGTTTTACGTTGATTAAGAGTGACTCCTAATCGGATGATGCACGTGAAGATACTCATAAAGTTATGTAGACAAAAACGGACACATTGACCGAAATTCATATTTGCTTTCAGAATGGACCATCATCAGATTTACCTTTTCTCTAAGTGATCACAAATCCCTATCATGCGCTGCAATGGACACTAAGCAAGCACCAGGAAATCAAATTGCCCGATATGATGAATTACATTATTCCGGAAAACGTGAAGCTGTAGATAAATTATAGAAGTACTGACCACTATGTACGAAACTTTTTGTCGGATAATAATCTGATAAGTATTAATGTCTTAACTTTAGATCGAATTCACGGCTAAAATGTAATTATCCATGAGCAATTAATAAAATAATCCAGAAGCCTAGATAACACATATTGAAAGATTTACTCATAAAAGTTATAAGTGCTTCAATAACCTCTTCAAGATTGGCAACAAAAAATGTCAAGTGTTTGGAATGAGAGAACAGGTGGCTATTGTTAACGGTCGCTATTAGCGGGACGTTCCGTGAACGATTGTGTTGGTGAGCGCTGATTGGCTATTTCTTATCCAATCAGTGCTAGTGGATACATGGAGACTAGAATCCTTTTGTATAAAAACAATAAACATACTAACGTTTTTTATTGTGCTTCTTACATCTACCCTTGTTATTAATAATTTCGTTCCTGTCCAACAGTGTTTTGATCTGGGGACTTTTCGAGTGAATCGGTGTCCAAGACGACTAAGCAACATAAATAGCTGTGTCGTAATAAGAGAAATTATAACAGTCGAGTTAGCAGCTTCTATTAAGTCAGAGTAGTAATTATTAGCATTACTATTATTACCATTATTGTTGTTATAAAATGATCAGCGTCAAACGATCGCATGGTTTATATTAAGTTGCTATTTTGTTTAATATGTAATGTTCATCTGGAAAAAAGGTTACAAACCAGCACAATATCCATTTCAAACGTTACTTGGGACTATAAGTATAGGAAGATATATATACCAAATTTTAAATAATCTCGAACTTTTTAGTGGTGTTGCTTTTCATTTCTTTTAACAACACTTGGTTTCGAACTTGAGTCTGATTAATGTAAGCCAGGTGATGAGCCATCAACTAACCTGTAACTATAATTTGAATTTCGTCATCAATGTGAGGATTTATACATTCACTTGCTGAGATCAAAACATACGAGGGTGAGGGGATGTAGCTCCGCAATTTTAGAATAAGTTGCAAAAGTAAGGGATGACAGTATCTATAAGAACAACTGTAATATCTCTACGTTGATTTTTGGCGGTCAACCAATAGAATACTCACAAACTGATTTCATATATCAGAAGCTTATTGTAGTTTGGCTTACCAAAGGAATATTCGAAAAATGGTATAAAGTCAACATTAAGAAATTTTATGAGTGACTTGAACTATTGTAAATAGAATCTCTACATACGTCTATATAATTCAACTTGTTCAGGTGGAATTGTAAATTCTGGAGGGTTGAAATTGGCTACCTCCGGAGCATTACTACTTTTAGCAGATGACGTGACCAAAACGGTAACAGAAGATGAATTAGGAGTATTTTGTAATTGGATAGAATTCGAACTAATCTCCACATAGTTACCACTTGAAACTGAGGTTAGAGGATCACCGACCTCCAGCTTTGTTGTAGTGTCACTAACTGATAAGCCGAAGCGTTTGGCTAGTTCTGGAGGAACCTTATACATAGAAAATACGAATAAAAAAGGATATTTTTATGAAGCACTTGGATAGGTGAAGTGAAAACATAAAACAGAATAGTGTCTAGAAAACCTGTCAGTGTATATTGCGATAACTACAATCAGTGAGATTACGATAAGCTGTAAATTGTAACAAAAGTAAAAGATGAATCATGCGCAAGAAGAATGAAAAAACCAAACAACTTGTTTCAGAATAATACAATTATTGCCTTTTCGGTAGTTAATAAAAAAACGGGGCTATATAACCAAATTGGTAGATGAGTATGTATCAATAAATGATCAAAACGAAGCAGTCTGAAAAATGGTTTAATGATAATATATGAAATCTATGTTATTTAATGATGAATCGACGTTGTATTTGAGAGTGCTAAGTATGTTTATCTAGTAATTAGAAATACTTTTAGCCAATTTACTAGTTTCACCTATAAAACTGACTGCTTCTTTTGTTTCTTAGTAGCACTATAGTAAGACTGAGAATAATAAACCCATTGTAAAACACGACAATAGGTAGGAGGAAGGTACATTTATTGCGAGAAATTACAAAGCATTTACATAATACATATATATAGCTTTCAATTGTACATTTGCACCTTCCGGTGTATTCTGCAATCTGAAATCTCTTTTCGATTCGTCTTACAGTGTTCTCCAAACACCGTTCATTCAATGCACTGAAGCTTTTCACTCTGTCCGACAATTGTTGCGACTTCGACACCGCGTCCTGCTAAACACTAATTACAAACATCCTTGTGAGAAACGTCCAATAAACCATATTAGAAAATTCACAGAAAGGATATATTTGCTGCTTATATATTTAGATTGAAAAGACACCTGATAGGTTAATTAAGGAATATTGTTTTTAAGCTGCAAAAGAAATTGAGTGTACTTTGCAAATACAGATAATAAGTGGGTGTATGATGAAAAGAAGTGAAGATAAAAGTATATAAGATGCATATCACTCTTTTAGAAGAGAGTTCAATGGATGTTACAAATTAGATTCTTGGAGTACACTTATTTGTATTGTAAGCATGTTAGCATCATACATAAAAGAAGTTTTAAATACCAAAACTCAAAAGAAATTGGTTGAGGTAAAAAAAGTGTGAACTTAACAAACTGTTTAAATTGTCTACCTAATTTCAAGTCCTAGGTCTGTCATCTAAATGATCATAAATCGTTCTATAGTTACCTAGATATAATTCAAAAAATGCTACTTATTTACCAAGTACAGATTTATAAGCTTTCCTATGAGTCTCACTTTATGTGAGGGTCGGTGATACCAATCGATTATACAAACCGAAGTAGATGAAGTGACGTTCAAAACTACGACTTAAAATGGAATGCTTTTATCACTTAAACACCAATTCGCTAAAGTTCGGAGAACTACCTTATGATAGAGTATTATTTTGGTAAATTATCCATACCAATTACTTGGCTAAGGATAATTAGTAAATATAATCAAAAATGAGAATATGTTGAATTCATGCTTATCAAAAATATGAAGATAAACATCTACAATCCAACTTTAATGTTGTCTAGCAAATGAATGACATTGTTGAGTTTACAATACAGAATATTTGTCTACAAACAAAAGCAAAATAAATACTATTGATAATGATCAGCGGAAAATATTGCTTGGGAAACATCATCAACATACACACGAACTAATAAGATAATCAATATTCAATGCACTTTGATCAGTAATCAATACAGACGACTAATATCAATATCGTTGGAATTATTTTACACAAATGAACGTTTAGATTCGCAGTTATTTCAGGTATAATTTTACAAACAGTACATTTTCATACAACTAACTAGAAGGAATAGGATTAAACTTAAATAGGTGAAATTAAAAATAAATTCAAGTTAAGTATATAGAATTAAAGAGTGGAAAAATCTTCTTTATACACTGAAGTTATTAATATATTGGTATGTGTTAAAAAAAGATACATGTTAAAAGTTGTGTAAAAGTATGAGAAAAAAAATCTGCCAATTAAATATTTGAAAAATCAATAGCAATGTCAAAAAAATAGTGAAACATGCACCTATTTATGCTTGTGTGAGAATTAATTTACATGAACTAGAAAATCAGTGGCTTGTTTGAATATATATATATATATATATATATATATATATATATATATATATAGTTTGCCAAAAGACGTTTTAGAGAAAAGGCAAACAAATGTACAAGCATAAACATAATAGTAATAGTAATAAACTTTCATTTATAAGCAAGAGAAATTATTAAGGAGCAAGCATGCATAAACAGAAGAGTAGGTTAGGTAAATGAATATAACAAAATAAATACTTCAAAAAGTAAAAAATATACTTGTTCTTCTAAACTAATAACCAGTAAAACGTTGATTTATTTATTTTATTTATCTATGTGCATGATTAAAACGTAAACAATAGATGTTTGTAAATCCGTAAGAAAAAATTTGAAAAAAGACAAAACAAAAAATAGTTAAAAATATAAGTAGTTGTGTAACAAACACTGGTGTAGTATGTGATAAACATGATGGATGAAAACTCTGAAACAAAATACGAACAATACATTCTGAAGGGTAATGGAAGAATAATCAATCAAAAAGTATTTATAAGTATAAAATAGGACCTTTTTACATTCCCACATCTTATAAATTACCTTTAAAGATTGTAATTCGTTTCTTAGAGAAGGAAGATGTAAATGAAAACGTGAATAAGTTTAATTGAAATAGAAAACAATTGTTTTTTAATGTGACCAAAGATATGGTGAACAATTTTCAAACTAACCTATTTTCTCACTACTTTTGCATAATTTGTAAAGGAGTTCATCATAATTGGCAGAATACTGATAAAGAAGTGATTCAATTTTCTCAAAAGTTTGGTGAACAGTAAAATTTATTACCTGCCTCGATGGAATGATTTTTTTCACCAAAAACAATGATCAAGGACAGAACGTAGCTTTGAGCAAACATAGTTCATGTAACTCGACACACAAGCTGTAAACTGTATTATTTGCATGGTAGCTACAATAATTGGTGAATGCGATCGTAGCAATTAAAAACGAAATCAAGGGCTTAAAGTGTGAGTATTGAATTTATCAATTATTAGGTTTATTTTGCTTGATTTGTACACTAAATTACGAAAAATGACCCAAAAGTTTAGCAGTTTGTAGTAATGGAGTATACGGCATAAGGGTTCAAAATTTGTAGGACAATAGTAGTTGAAAGAAGGCTATGAGACTTATAATTTGCTTGTTTTAAAGTGACTCACACTCAACAACTATAAACATTGTTTCCAAAGACCATTTATATTTGAGCATTCACTACATTTGATGAAATAATTTGCAATGAGGTCTGGAAATAGATCGGACAAAACTCAATGATATATCAGATAAGGTCATCTTAGGGTAGTAAAGTTTGAATTTTTTTTGCCATATTATTAAAGTGATTACTACAAAAATTTAGGATCGTTTTGAAAACTATTAAGGATTCTGCTGAATATGAATAAATGGCTTTTCCTCAGGTAAGTTAAGAGTATGAACTACGGAGGTTCACGGAACAATAACACACTGTGATATTATGTAGTGGCAAAATCTGTTAATAACACTTAAATGAGAACTAAAAAATTTTTAGCACTAATAAAAAAGTATTTTTCTTTTTCTTAAAAATCTATCTTTGTTTAAGTACGTGGAATAAAAGCAAACACAAACCTACCTGTGGTCCAATATAAGGGACAGATTTGTTCGTATGACTTCTGCTGTCTGAATTATCAATGGTTTGATGGTGTGCATCTTGAGGTAGTGGTATATCAACGAGCACCGAAGGACTGGACGTTTTATTACTTGACTGTACTACACCAGATGAAGACGGTGGTTGTGAATGTGAATCACTATTACGTTCAACAGATGATTTAGAATTGTGGATAGGTTTTAAATTGTTACTATCATTGTTATTATTTGTTGTAGTAGATTCATGTGATGACTTTCGATACTCTAAAATGAAGTAAAATTACAAATGAAATTTAGTTAACCAATACTACTTTATAAGACAAACTCTTAGTAAATTAGTCGTTTAATGCACTGAGTAAGAGAAATATTATATACTGATAATTGCACATTGTACTAAACATATTATATTGAATAAAACCATTTACAATAGTAATAATAATAATAAATATCATAGTTTGAAAAAAATTAGATTAAAAAAATCCACATTAGTACTTACTGGATTTCTCTCCGCCCACAACTCTATTGACAGCTGCCGAAACTGTCTCATCGACGCTTGGTATGTAGGAAATGGACTTCGGGTCAGTATAAGGACTATTCATCCTACTATCTGATATATTATCTTTACTCACTGGTCCAACGCCAAGACGAGCGAGACGATGTTCTGGTGGAGTTCGTAAATTATCTTCTGAAACTTTTGTAATAGATGAAGTGGGTCGGTATAAAGGAGTACGAGAACGACGAGAAAGAGAACGATTTTTAGAGGTATTTCGACGTGAAAAATAACGAGAACGTGACGAGAGAGAAGACTGTGAAGAAAAACTGGAATCTGTTGAATGCCAACTCCTTGAGCGAGATCGTGAACGAAGAGAGTAGCTTCTACGCCTATGCCTTCTCCGATAAAAAGATCTAACATGTCTATGGCGTCGAGTTCTTACAGAGCTTGATCTTGAACTGTAACTTGAGCGAAATGAACGAGAAGTACGAGCAGACGACCTAGAACTGTAGGACTTTGACTCATTATAACTACGTTTGTGTCGATCGTATTTATGAGAAGATTCTGAACGAGAGGAATAACGCGACCTACTGGCAGAAGAATGATAAGAGGATGATCTACGAGAGCGTGAACGTTTACGATTTTTCTGTGTAACACCTTCAATAGTGCTCTTTGTGCGAGAGGTTCCTCGATTGTTGCAACATCGAGAGCCATCAGAACCTCCTGATGAAACAGACTTCCTTCGACAACTTGTGGAGTGGTGACGATCTGAATTCTTTCTACATCTTCTGTGATGTGAATCTCTACCAGATAATTTCGGACGCGATTCATTCGAATTGACTGGATCACATTTGCTAGAACCATCTTGGTGCCTACAATCCTTTTTTTTCGTAGTTAAATCACTTTTTGCTTCTTTTGACAGAGTGGACTTGTTTAAGGCTGAACAATATGAACAGAAACATAAAATGCATATGAACCACTTTAATATCATTCATTAAAACGCAAACAAATATGAATGTGAAAATTGGTCAACATAACATTTTAAGTCAATAAACCTTGGAAGACTATGGATGATCACAAACAGACAATCTCTTGACTTTGGACATATACTAAATATCCTCATTCTGAGATTAATGACTCGTAATCTCAACACACCATCAAAACAATACATAGTAGCTAATTGGGGATATGCAATCTTAAATTACATTGAGTGAACATCAAAAAGGTTCACATGCAGAACTTGTGCTTTTACTTTAGTAAGTGGGGAAGAAAAAAGAAGAGAACAGTGGTTTCATCCAGAATATTGAAATCGGACGCCTAACTAAGACTCGTGAACTACAAACACAAGAAAATCAGACTGGTTTTAGACCTGGTCGTGGCTTCATCGACGACATATTCACCACTCGTCAGATCTTAGAACACAGGCATGCTTATCGTCGTCCGACAATGGTGATCCTTCTTGACTTAAAAGCAGAATTTGACCCTGTAGACCGAGAGGTTTTATGGCAGTATCTGTCATTGAAAGGCGTACCTCCGAAGTACACAGACCTTGTGAATGCTCTTTACTCGAACACTCCTAGTCGAGTGAGAGTTTATGACAAACTGTGATCTAAATTTGCAACCTCAAGTGGTGTCCGTCAAGGCTGTCCACTTTCTCCATTTTCGTTCAAATTCATCATAGACCTACTGCTGGAAATAACTTTGTCGTCGTCTGGATTTTCAGGAATTGATCTCTTTTCAAGAGGTCCACCTATTGACTTAGAATACGCAGATGACATAGTCCTGTTTGGTGAAAACGCTGATAAAATGCAGTGTTTTGGTAGCACTGAGTAACAATACGAGAATGATTGGAATGCGTTTCTCCCTCTCTAAATGCAAACTGTTGCTTCAGGAACGGCCTTCGTCAACACCTGAACCAAGGATAGGGAGTGAAAAAGTCAAACGCATCGACAACTTCGCTTATCTTGCAAGTTTGAGCAACCCTAATGAGTTGATGTCTGAAGAAATCTCTGCACGGATTCGAAAGGCTCGTTTGGCTTTTGCCAACTTACGTCACCTATGACGATGGCGAAATATGTCTATAAATTAAGGGACGAGTATACTGTGCGGCAGTTCATTCTGTTCTACTTTACAGCTGCAAAACGTGGCTATTAAGAGTAGAAGATACTCGTCAGCTACTATTTTTGATGACACATGTCTTAGAAATATTGCTTGCATCTTCTGGGACCACCAGGTAAGTAATAGTGAGGTTAGACCCAGGGTATTAGGAAATGGTGGTAAATCAGTTGAAGAGGTTGTGAATCTTCACCGACTGAGATGGTAGGGTTACGTGTTTCTTATGCCTGAACACTGATTACCGCGGCGCACAATGCTGACTAGTGTTGGGGATGTCTGGGAGAAAGTTAGGGGTAGCCAAAACAAAACGCGGCAGCAGTCTTTGAAGTCACTAACTTCTAGTCTTAGCCATGTTGGTAGATGCAGACTACTTGATTGGGGTCCGCGTGATTATCGTAACCAATGGTTGGAGACTGTGGGTGACATGGCTCAGAATCGATCACAATGGTGTAGGCGTATACACTTTGTCTTCCCTTAAACTATGAGATTAAAATCGCTTCATATCTTTCTTTCTACCAACTCATTCTTTCTTGCTGTACTATATCCTCATATACAATCCTCCCATTATATGTTATCACCATTGAATTAACTACTTTATGAGTCCGGTGTTTATCTTGCTGTGCTAATGAGGTATGGCAACCTGAACTGATGCATATATGTGTATGGTTCTACGTTGTAGCTGACCGACTGATTGGAGTAGTAAAATGATTAAGACAGGGCAAAAACGTATCATCGCTGTAGACAACTGTTTTGTAAACATGAAATCTGTTCTTGAGCTATAATTATTACAGTATATAAATGCGATGATGATAGTTACTAACATATTTTCACTAAAGCAGTTGATTAGTGACCATGATTTAAGAAAAGCTATGTTCAAATTCGAGTTTTTCAACCATGTTTAATACTGCTTTAGATGCAAAGGTTTATTAACTAAATTCCATTTGATGCATCTTAGTTTATGTTTCATCGTTTAGCTTATTATTTTTTGACTGTGAGTGACAATGTAAGAATGTTTACAATGTATTTCTTTCCCTATAGGTATCTATGAATGATTGATACAGAAAACGTTCAATAAATAGCCAATGCCTCCAGATAAATTACAAAGGAATAAATAGAAAATAAACAAATGATACTTACGACGAGACGCTTTATGTGAGGATTCTAAGGAATTTGATTTCTGGTGGTTATCTGGAGAGGTGGTTTGCTCATTTTCACTAAATTTTTCAGTACGTACAACTGAAGAGTCAAAATCACTATCACTTGAATCCCACGTAGATCTGGCAGTACCTTTGATAACTCTGACGCTATTTGTCTTCCCAGGAGTTAGTTGATTTGACGACGAACTAAGATTGCTAGGACGAGTTTCCGACAAACTATGATCTTTACGGTGTGACTGATCATCAACCTTCCGCCTTATTTTACGTTTCACATGTGAATGTTCTTTATTACCATGAGGCAATTCGTCATCAGTACTATTATAAGCGACAAGTGTATTTGAACCAACTTGATTTCGTTTTTGATCAGAGTATGATGCATGTTTTTCGGAATAAGATATACAGACATCTGAGCTCTGTTTTACCGATATAGAGTATCTACCGGAAGGACTTCTATCGCCTGCATTACTTGAAATATGATCTGCAGCATCAAAACTGCTTTTTGACTTTTCACGCTCACGAGAATTTGTAGGAGTATGGTAAGTACTAGTATCACTTTTCTTACATTTTTTGTACGGTGACTTAGCACTTTTTTGACCGCAACAATCATCATCAGGAATACGAGCTGAAAGAGTGGGTCTCGTACTCAACGAAGATTTAGCAATTGCATTGTTTTTGGTACGGCACTCCCTCTGGTTAGATTTACAATCTGTAAAAAACGAAAATCCGGCAATCGAAAGTTGAGAATCATGGGAAATCAATACCTGAAAGAAGCATAGTTATCAATTAATTTTGCTCACCTGTATGTGATGATTCAGATTTACTATCACATGGGTAAGACTCGATCTCACTTTGGTCGTTTGAATTGTTGCGTTCAAAGTGCGCAGTATGGGAGAGTTTATTTGACAAACCAGAACGTTTAACAGCGAACGATAAAGAACTACGTGTTGACTGTGAACCGTAGTCACTTTCCCTGTAAATTTTTGGAATTACGATTGAGATATTAACTCAGTACAGATATTTTGGAAGGAGTATATGAATAACAGTTATAACAATTTGAAATGGAACTAACAATAACATGGGTAGTTTATAAACTAACCGTACGATCAAGAAGAGTTAGAAAGAAAAGGGATAATTTTGGAAGAAACCTAAATCAGTATTTTGTGCGCTAATTAACTGAATGAATGGGTAGATAGTAGAAATGTATTTAGAAAATCCCAATATCCGTTTTCTCAAGCCTTCGTTTCCTTGAGTACTGAAAAGGCGGGAAAGAGATACCACAAGTTTAAAATTAATTACTTAACATTTCTGTAGTACCTCATCATTGCTCTGTGATTATACTGCCGTTTTATTTCATTTCTGACGCTCTCCCAGAGAGTTTGAGGTATGCTAACACTTTGATAGTCATCCTAATGATTCCAGTGTTGATGTGATGTGGTAACTTTGAACATACACATATATACTAGGTTCTACGTTGTTTATGATTGACTGGTGATGCATTGTCATTTGCACATCCTCCCAGGTTGCCACATGTTAGTATAATGAGTTGAATTATCAAGACGAATCTCAGAATGGTATTAGTAGTATCAGTGGCAGTAGAAAACATTAGTGACATAAAATTTAATTTAACAAGAATAATTCCATGTAGTAAAAAATAAAAGATAATTTTGGAAGTTGTTCAAAGAAAGACCGATTTTTGGCAGTGCTAACAGATAAGCAAAATAGCAATAAATAAGTAACAATCACATACCTACTACTGGACTCTGTATGTTTTCCATTATTCTCACCTTCAGGAGTCTGTTTTTAGCGAGAAAAAGAAAAAGAAAAACTGCAGAACAATAGGAATAGTCAGCCGAACATTTATTTGAATAGACAACCAGTACTCACTAGAAAAAACTTGTGACGAAATAACGGCCTTGTAAAAGGTGTTTCATTAAAAGGTAGCAGTTAGTTAATCAACTATTTTCATTATTATTAGATATGCAACACCAGATAATATGATGAAAAGACTCTAGTTAAGATTACCAACTGGTACTTGATGGCAATACAATTAGGTTAATCTGAACAAATATTTAAAACAGCATTTCCCAGTCGATAACATTGAAACAAACTAAAGAACATGAGAATAAATAACTACACAAAAAACAAACATTATAACTATGCTGAAACAATTAGATTTTGAACAACCGCAAACAATTATGGTACCAAATTAAACAAGAAGAAGAACATTTACGAAAAGGAAAACTAAAAACTAAACTAAACACACAAACACTCGAACATACACACGCAGACAACAGATATAAGTGCATTCCGAACGAAATCATTTTTAATTATTGCTACATATATCATGATTTAACGAAGGATTGCAATGATAATAAAGATAAAAATATCATGCAATCAAAAGAAATTAACATATTTATGTGTGAATCAACCATGAGATTATGCTAAAGTAAATATTAAGTGAGTGAATGTTGTTAATACAGTAAATCTTTGAAATATATAAAGGAAACATAGAGTAGGAAAGTGGTTTACACAGATAGCTCCAATATTCAATACTATAATTGAGAGAACTAAGCAATAAAATATATTTTTCCTATAGCAACGCACAAATGAGTTTCTTATTTTGTTAAATAGACTGTATTCATTATGAAAAGAAGTGCATCCAAATGCATGAGAACGAAATGAAAAGAGCATCAAACTAGCAGAGTAGTAATAGTAAATGTAGTGATTTCTCCTAACGAGAAGTGGAACAAAATAGAAACGAACCAGAATACAATATGCAAAACGTCAATATAATAATAGTTAAAATAACGGTAAGACTGATTATACAACATACCTAATTTATATTTCCTATACCCATTTGTATATAAATGTGTGTAGATATAAACTTTTAGACAGACAATACATACAGAGAGCGTGTGTTTTATAGTAAAGTACACAATCAGGAACAAGAATGATGAATACACAAATAAGCACGCAAACACGATTTCACGAAAATAAACAGAAAAAAAGAAAAAAACACACAGAATACAGGAAAAGGGTTACAGGAGGATGGGAAGTAGCAGATGGAGCAAAAAGTGTGTAGCCAAAATATATCATAAACACAGAAAGAGGGGAAAAGGAAAGATGCAAATTAATTTAACGTTAATCAATGAATCAATAACTTGTCACATAATCGAATTTACGAAAAATTTTGAAAGACAAGAAGACTAAAACACAAATAGTAAATAGATGACTATAAACCTTGTGATAACTTGACAACTATAACCATCGCTATTTCTCACCCCTGAAGCCTATCCAATATGACCGTAGGTTGTGCTAGGGGAATGAACTCAGACATTTAAAATTACTCATTTATATTTACCCAACCGAATATACTGTTTAGCATTCAAGCGAAGTCAATCATCACCCTTAAGATAATGACCAAGCTGATGTAAAGACTTATTCCTAAAGCAATCTCAAAGAAGAAATTCATATGACAAAAACTATTCATGAGATTGTAGATCGATTAGTAAGCACAAAATATGCCCTTAAGTTATGTAAAACAAGATCCCATTTTGAGCTCTGAGTTTTAGTTGTTAAAGGAGTCCATTTCAAGCAAAACTTCTGGGCTTCAGTGTCAATAAATTTTACTGGGTTGAAACTAGACAACTTATAGGACACGTATGACCAAAGGTATTATTATTGTAGTGGCCTTTAAACACAGATGAATTTTTTAAAGTTGTTTCACTGACCGAGTACAATTGCATTACATTTGAGCAAATGTTAGTGTCAGTGAATTACGTTACACAGAAGGCTAATAGAAGTAAATTCGCAACTCTATGTGCATACACCTATAATCTAGTGAATAAGTATTGTCTTGAAAAAATCCACTCTAAATTTAGATTTCTTTAATATACCAATAGTTTCATCGTTAAATCGGAATACACAAATCATTGATGTTTCCTCTAATTGTCATATATTTTACTTTAACTAAACATAAGTAGATAAAACTGTTCATAATGAACGAGGTATCGTTCACTGTTTAATGTTATTATCTCAGGTACTTGAAGGATGTATCAGAATAGTGGCAAAATAAATATTTACTCGCTATTACATATTGTATTAAACAATTCTACATTTAAAGATTGAAATATCATTGACGCTAAGTTATTCCTTTTTATTTATTAATGAATGATTAGAACGATTAATCTTACTCGGCAATGTGTATTCTCCTTTTTACATCTCGTTACTTCTGACTGTCGATAATAAAAAATAAAGAATTACGCTGGAGTAAATTATTGAAAAGATATCAGTATCTAGACAAAAAATGTAACATCGTAACGACATACCAATCAAACATTCAGGTGCTGGTGGTTTACTGTAGCAAACGCTGGGATAAAAAAGGGTCACATATATACAATTTCGACGATACACAATAAGGAAATGATCATTTTAATATGGACAAATGAATATTAACTACAATACTAAATAGAATTTGGAGATTATGTGCAATAAAGTAGTTTTAGAGGAATAACAATGTTAGATACCGTTTCACATATGATACCTCAAGTCTGCGACCCAATTGAACCTAAATTGAAGAGCTTTTATACGATGTTATGTAGTCAGGTTAGTAAGAGAACACACTAATTACGAAGGTTATTATTACCCACCAACACCTAATTCACAAAACTTGATGAACTTTATGAATTAAATGTCGAACGGCTAAAATTTAATTGAAGTGTAAAAATACAAACACACCCTCTTACAAAAGTGCATCTTTATTAATCTGCTTCTCTTAAGGTAAGGTAGTGAGACAAAGTACATTCATGAGTTAATCCAAATCCATCCACACTAGAGCTATTCGCGGAAATCAATATCCGCTTTTAGCACAATTATAGATATTTGTTTCACAAGCTTTCACTGATGAGAATATATAGAATGAATAACTATAATTTTTGCTAGAGTAGTCACTATGAGACATATGATAATCTCTCGCATAACGTAATGGTCTCGTTAATAAATTTTAATGTCCAGAATGTGCTTAGTTATTTAAGAAATATATTTTATTTAGTACACAGAATGAACGCGGAAATGTAATTCCAAATATAGTGAGAATAACTGTCCGGAAATATATATGATTTATGAACTAGGAATATTGGTGATACTTGGTAACATCCTAAAAGAAACTGATGATAAATTAAACAACCTAATGAACTCAACAATAGCAGGGTTCTTTACTGAATATACGCAACAATAAGAGTACATTTTTTCAAGTCTGAATTTGACATTATTACGCGCAAACTACCAAAAAATAAACACCACCTAAACTAAGTAACCTCAATCTGGTAACTGTGAAGATACTATACTTAGAAAGTTAAAACTTAACAAAAAAAATTGTAAGTACTGCAATAATAGGTTGTATGTAATAGCTAGGAATAAGATTTGAACAAGAAAGGATAAAAAGACTACGCGACTGTACGTACCTGCGAACTTGGTGTAGAATATTTATCTGAAAAAGAAAAACGTATTCGGAAATTAAGTACTTGTTTCTTGAAGCGAAAAATAGGTTCGTAGTAAATACTTTGGTTATCATTATACATTCGCTTTTACCAGGTTGAGAAAACTGGTGAAATTTTGATGTAGATTTTAGGCCTTTCGGTTATGTTTGAATAAAAATACGGTTGAACTGATTACGCTGATAAATCATCCAATTGAGTTACGTGATGGAAGATGCTTAAATTTAAATAGGACCTTAAACTAATTGACAGAATTAAAAAAATTTCAAGCTTAAGGAGGATTTCACAGTTCGACGATTAATCCAGAAACCCGAAGAGCGAACAACTACGTTTAATTTTGATTGTTTTGAGAAATTATAATTTACTGATTTTACGATACTGTAATTTATGAATCCAATACATTCTCGACTTTACATTTTCAAAAATATTCTACAACAATAACAACGTGGTTTACAAAACTATATACTGTAAATTTAAGAGTTGCGTAGTTCTGACTATTATTCTTGCTTTTGGAAGCGACTAATGTTAAATCAAAATTATAAAAGCTGTATACTCGGGGTTGGACCAAAACTATATATTATTTGCACAAAAGCATAATAGGAATGAAAATAAAACTTAATAACCACTAAATTTTGGCAAATCATCCATCTACCAAAAAATGGATACTGTGAATAGAAAAGTTTTCTCACGTTCAGTTACAACATGGATAATTCAGATTTTACTGTTGTTCTGGTACAACATGCAATTTAATTGACACTACAAAGTTTTATTCAGATCCCAATTTCATTGATGAGTTCATATATGTGATAACTATTTTGAGATCCCTTAATACACATTATGAGGTATATGAGTGGGATCATCAGGAAATCAGGACGAATTGAACTTGGAAAAATCAAATACGATGCTTTACATCCCAAATTTTCTATAACCAGTACTAAGTCGATGAAGTAAAAGTTCACTTTAAAACATTGGCAGTCCGATCAGTAGTAATACATACGAATCAAAGAATAACAAATGATTTTCATTACACTAGTTATTAGGACGTTTCCAAAACTCTTTGGGAACTGTTAGATCAGGAATACGACCAGATACAATTCTTCCTACCAGTAAAAACTATTTTTACCCTGTTGGGTTAAATAAGTATTGTAATTGACGAGTAAAAACTATTACTTTAGTCAAATCCTTCATTACAGCGTCTTAACTGGATCACAGTCTTACCATTTTTAAAATGTTTATTGATAAATTAGCTAATTTCTTGAAATTAATCAAATGGTTAGAGTGTTCAACTTTTAGTCAATGAGTCTCAAGTTTCAACTATACTACCTACTTTGGTTTGGTACCAAGGGAGTATCACTAACCTCCATACGCAGAATGCAACTCAAAGTAAAGTACACGAATCAGTACCTGGCAAATGAGTTAACAATAATGACAAGTTCATATATAACGTTCTTAGCTTGTCTTATTCTTAACACTTTTTTCAAAAATCACGACAATAAAAGCAAAGAACGCCCTAAGACAAATGAATGACTTGATTTTACGTTAATTTCAATTATGATGGAATCAAAAAGATCCGGGTCACTTATCTGTGAATGATATTTCATAAAACTTCAGTTCCAGAATATATGATAAATTAATCCAAACTCTTGATGAAATAAAAAGTCTTACAACCAGACGTTTCAATTCCAGAGTTGATTACCTTAAAACATGAATTCTCATGAAAAACTGACAGAATTCCAAGTAAATTACCTACTTTATCTATAGGTATGGAAAGATGGACAGTATGTCACTAAATCCATGTTCAGGAAGCATCTCAATCAGTGTCCACGCTTCGAGTTACATACTTTTGAAGGATACTAAGTTGAAAACTACGAAACAACTTTTGAGAAGTGAAATAACATTTAACGAATTAAATAAAGAACTATAGTATCAAATACACAAAAACCTACAGATACGAAATCATCGAAGGATTTTACATTTTTGTCATGCTACGGCAGTTATAAAACTTACAGTGAAAAGTGAGACAAAGTCGAACACTTCACCATTTGTTCTGCTATTTACCTAGACGTCTGAGAGAAACTAAAGCTTAATGTAAACGCCAACAGGAATTCTAAACAAACATGTACAACCATACTTTTTCTACATCTAAGAGACAAGACTTGACTCATATATTATTATGGAAAAATTAATGAGTATATTAAATGTATGATATGATGAGAGAGAGAAATTAATAACATGGGTACATAATATGTTAAAATCAAGTTTCACTCAACAAAAAGTAGTTCGAAGTGTATGTAACTATAGAGTACTGATAAAAAAATAAAGGATCTTGATGGGAAAAAAGACCGCAAACTATTTTTGTAAGCAGTTAGACGAAAACAAAATGGACACTGATAAAACATTAAATTAACCTGAACAGCTAATAAGAAGGCAAGTTTATAGTGCAAACAAGAAAGTGCACAAGGATATTATTTGAATAAAATAACACACCATCACTTGTAATGTTAGACAAGTGTAAATAATTACCAAGATATCATGCATATACACATACTGAGCGGTAGATAGCAGGTTTTACTTTGACAACGAGATTATACATTTTCAGTAGGTAGGTGGAAGTAAATATTTAGATCGTTCACCCTAACAAATTGACGCAATTAAAAATAGAAATAAAGAACAGACTTCCCTTTACTAATAGTCAAGAATTCAGTAAACCAAAGACCTTGAGAAGAAGTATCAATCCCTACTTTCGTCTACACAATGTTTCATTAGTCCTATGTTATTATGTATCCCTCAGAGCTGAACCTCTTTTCTACCGTTCTGTATACGTAATTACCATTATGAAAATAAATCTAAATACAAAACAAATATCCCTACACGTTTGATTTAAATATGTGTTATGTCCGCAACAAGATGTTTTTCATTGGATCGATAAGGCATACGTGTTGCACATAAAATTCAGGCGAAAAAGTCTACAAAAAGCCGACAAACACTAGTAAAATGCAACAAAAAAGCTAGGTATGCGCCACTTTAAAAACAGATGGACCTAAAACATAGAATGTAAAGATATGTAACACTGGCAAAACAACATCAAACTGTATACAGAGCACAACGAAATCAGAACAGAAATAAATGATTCCAATCAACATGCGATTGAACATTATAATGTGAACATTTACCCGCTGAAAATTATCTAAGGCCAAGAAATAGAAAGCAAAACGTTGATTGAGTAACTACAGTACAGATTTCAGTTTATAATACATGCAAACAGATAGTGTAGATTACTCAGTAAAGTAATAGTTGAATGCATAAACATCATTTAAAGCTCTTATCGTATTACTTATATCTAATATGGTTTAAAGTACAAACCCTGCCTTGATATCAATTCAAAACTAGCCACCTACCACTCGCAGAAACAAACCAAGAGTTAACAGCGCTTCATGACACAATTAGTACGACAAGAAAATGAATTGAGAGGGCAAATCAGAGAAGTAAAACAAGATCTCTCACCATTGTAGTCATGCATACTACTTCTCCTCTCAGTTTACAAGTAGTCACATGAAATAAATAATTTACTTCAGCTACTGTGTCATACGTATTAAGAAATTAAGGTTACCTTCCAAAAATGTTTATTACTCGGTAGAGGGAAATTACCTTACGCAAATGATAGCGAAAGAAGTCCATAAAGAGTTGATACAACGGTATGTTTCTAAAACACGATAACTGAAACGTGTTCTGTTGGTTGGTTGAGTTGTATTATGACTAAACTGAAGCACTAGGACAGGATCCAATAAATATAAACATTAATTTATTGTGACAAGTACTAATTTGTTACTATTTTAGCCAGTTACAAAACACCTAACAATTATTTCCAGGTAAAAGATCTTAAAACAAGGTCAGTCCGTAACAGAGCAGTGATGCTAAATTAAGATACTATACTAGAGAATACATAATTTTGGGTGCTACATTGCATCAATAGTGAAAACTATAAACATTTGAAGTATCAAACAAGTTTAACTGGATACAATCGACATTTAGCCTATACTTTGGATAAGAAGTAAGGATTAAGAGTAATGAGAATACACCACCCACTTTGCTACACTAACGTAAATATTACATAAGTAAATGACTGATGACAAAATAGTACATAAAGCGAAACAGTTTTGCGAAAAACCCACGTAGTTCGATAAGCAATCCACAAAAAAACACACCTTGAAATTGAAAAATCATTTTCATCGAAACAATAAAATCTAAATCAAAGGTGCATTAAAAAGTTTGTAATAAAATGTTACAATAGCTGGTTTTAGAACCTGAAAATTTCCAGAAAATTAGGTGTACATAGATAGGTGGTAAAGGTGTAAGAACCTTAAAATTGTTGGATTGAGCTCGTATTCCTAAAACATCTGATATGACACAAATCGGTGTATAACCCTAGACATATATTTACCATAGCCTATTTCAATCGAACAAATAAATTTGCCCACACAATTATACTTTAAATTGTTATTTTATCAACATGTTAATATGAAAATGTAATGTACGGATAATATTACATGACACATGGAATTCTGAACGTTACTGCAGGCATTGATGTGGTCATGTGAAGTGATGTCTCACCTCGGGTAATTTTATATTCTGCTACAGTAATTTGCATGTATAGAAAGTAGTGAAATAATGGAAAAAGAAAATTCGCAGTTACGAACGCAGCTGATTTTAATATTCTTCCCACTAACCAATTTTACAGAAAGTGCTGCGATTTCTAGATGGATTCTGGTTGCCCACTAATCCCTCTTTTTTATTTGATTTTGTCACACAAAATCATGAACAATATTGTGGAAAACACTATCTGACGTTTCAGAGATTAATCCCCTACCAGGAAGTTACGTTAACAGCTTAGAATACACAGACAGCAAGCTACCATTGAATGAAAACACAGACAGTGCAGTCTCCTGATCACTGTGAATTACAATACATGTCTGAATTGTTTTTTTCTCAGACGTAAGATGTAGCTTTAGGACTGGTCTGTACCATCGGTTAAACTGATCACGGGGAGTAAGGCAGTTGAGTGCGACGAGCACTTATTTCAGCATCATTAGCCCTGTTAAGTTTATTCTAATGAAATATTAGTAAGGATTCAGAAAGCTCTTTTAGCCTTAGTCAACACGTATATCCGCTAACAAGGGGTGAGCATGTTGCTATGAAGTTTGCTTTGTATTACTCTATAGTTGTAAAACATACTACAGAGAAGTATAAGACATGCGTAGGCTGTAGAATTTTTATCATAAGTGAATCTGAAACATTGTTCGGGTATCAGAGAAAGACTAAGTGCTGAAGGATCATTGCCCTCAAACACCCTGGTACGGCCGAGAGTGCGGAAAGGCCGCTCTCCCTCTCGAAATGCTCTCGCATGGCCACGCGTATATAGCCTCTTCCAGGGAAGTCCTACTCACTACCTCATGGCGGGGGTGTTGTTCACGAAATTGAGGAGACGAAAAGCGAAACTCCGGCTCTTTAACCGGGTTGGTCGATATGGAAGGTCCACCTAGGGGATTTGGAGAACCCTGATTCCGAACCAATGGTGTACATGGGATCCAGGATCCTGAGGGAACAAATGGTGTATGAACCAATTATTGGACACCGGCTAACATGGGACTGCATCTTCTGACGTTGCTCCACTGCCTTGTGGATCAGACCTTTAGGTCCAAGGCCCCGGGTGTGGCCCCCTAAGGAAATCACTTACTTCGCTCTGGGTACCCGTGTAGTATCACATCCCTCACATAAACCAATTGAATTGTGTGGCACATGTGTATTTAGGGCCCTCTATACCAATATTTATGTGCTCAAATAAATAGATAAATAAATAAGCGAGGAATATAGAGATTAGGCATATGTTTACCACAGAAAACTAGGGATTTCGCTGTGAATCTTCAACGACTGAAGTGGCCCAAGATGTGTTAGGTATGCTTACTGCGACGGGTGACATTTTTTGGAGTAGGAGTAGGTTGCGAAAAAGCTAGAGGCGGGCAAATCAAGGCATGAAATCAGTCCGTGAAGTCCCTGACATATGGAAAGTGCAAACCACCTGATTGGTGCCTGTGCAGTTATTGCACTCAATGACTTCAGACGGTTCAAATTTAGTCATAATAGCGCAGATGCATTCAATCATTATTTCACTCTAGATCTTGAATTCTGGTACTTTCTCATACACAAATATTGCCTTTTTGAACCAAATACAGTCGTTTTTATCCTTACTGCTACTGCATTTTTCAAGTTCAAGCTATTTTGTTATTTTCACTCATAGTGCTGTCGTGGTAATGCAATTAGGGCTAATGTAAAATTGAGCCAGGATGAAAGTTGATTACCACCAACTAATGACTAATGGAATTTTTCACGCATATAACCGTTGCAAAACAATTACCCACTAAAGTTGTGAGTCAAGCAACAAACTAAGCGTTCCTAAACCTATAAACGATCACTTTTGTCCAAGGTCGAGTGCCAGGTGATTCTATAATATTTTACTTTTGAAATGGAATCTGTCTGTATAACAACTTGTTAGTCAATAACTTGCAAGCCAAACGGAAGTGGCGTTCTAAAATTGCAAAACACTAGACAACTGACTTAGCCTTATTGTGAAGGTCCTTGCAGCAACTGAAAGATGTGGATCGCTGGTACTGACGAGACATTCTAAGGATCAACGTTAAATCTAACTGAATCCTTGAGAAAAATAATTATTAACCGGCCAAAACATAGCTTTCACTGTTAGTAACGTACTAATGTTTAAGATCTTAATAATTTTCGATAAGATCGTATATAACATGTCACTACAGTATACCCAGATTTTTAAGGTTTTCAAGAGTTTAAGGGAACTAAATGCTGGTCAACAGACTTTCTGATAGTCTCACAAGAACGATGTCGATGAAATCTCGACTTTTACTGGCTGAATATTTAGGCGAAAAGTAGATAACTCAGCGACATTTAATACACAGAGCGATACAAAGGGGAAAATCCGCATTAATTCCCCCTGAAAGACGAAATAGAAAACATTAAGGCGCGTATTTTCTCTTCTGTTCGCCTTTATTGATTACTTGGGATTAGAAAACTGTATGGCTCAAACATGCTATACCATACATGGAGAAGACATGTCACTATTCTAAGGGTCTGCGCAGTGGTAGAATATACTACGTAACTTACTAGAATTTTGAGAATCATGACTCTCACTACGTCTGGGTTTCTCACAAATCCGACGAGCAGATGACATAATCAAATGGCCCTCCAATGATGGTACTGCTTGCTGAGTGAAAACGAGGCTAATAAACAAATCATATCGCCGTGTCAGTATGAAAAAAAAAGTGTGTATTAAACTACAACGTTTACTTAAGTATTCAGATTTTATTAGCACGGTTTCATATTACGGAACTTATCTCTAATAGCATAACCATTATACATTTTCTGTTTGTTTGTATTCACCGAGATGTGCTCATAATACCTCACCCTCCTCTTTCAGTTATCGAGTCATTTCATTCCCAATGTGTGTCCTATCCTCCTCCAATGTCTTTTCCTAATTTCTTCTTCAGATGGAAGTTGGTCTTGTTCTCTCTCACAGAAGGCTGTTGCTGATGGTTTATGGACAATGGACATTCAGTATCTTACATAAACAATTGTTTATAAATATTTGCAACTTTTTGATGATGGTTGTGGTAGTTTCTCCACGTTTCAGCTCCGTACAGCAGGACTGTTTTGACGTTCGTATTGAGGATTCTGACTTGATATTGTTTGACAGTTGTTTTGAGTTCCATACGTTCTTCAACTGTAGGAATGCTGTTCTAGTTCTGACATTCCAGTCTACAGCCTGAACAAAGAGAAAGGAGGAGAGTAGGCAGCTTCGTCTGACTCCGGTCCTCACTTGGAATGCGTCTCTCAGCTGTCCTCTATACAAGGCTTTGCAGTGTAGTTCGTTGTATGAGTTTTGTATAATGTTGACGATTTTCTCAGATACCCTATAATGTCGAGGAAGTTTCCATAAATCCCTCCTATCCACACTGTCAAATGATTTCTCATAATCAATGAAGTTGATGTATAATGGCGAGTTCTGTTCAATTGATTGTTCAACGATGATCCGTAGTGTCGCGATTCGGTCTGTGCACGACCGATCCTTACGGAATCCAGCCTGTTGATCTCAAAGTTGGGCGTGTACTGAGTCTTTTATCCGGTTCAGAAACACTTTTTTCAAAACCTTTCCATGTACTGACAGTGATGTGATGTCTCTGTAGCTCTCACATCTACTCAGATCTCCTTTATTTCGTATCGTCATATCCTTGACATGCTTCTTTCCAGTCTATCGGCACTTGTTTTTCCTCCCAAATCTTCCTGAATAGAGTGTGAAGCATGTTTATAGTTACTTATATGTCTGACTCTAGTGCTTCAGCTGGTATATTTTCAGGTCCTGTTGCATTCCCACCGTTAATTTATCTGATGGTCATACTGATTTCTTCGATCGTTGGTGGAGTAGACCTTGTAGTGCTTGGAACCTGTTGTTGTGACCTATTCGTTGAGTTTCTCAGTATGTCGAAGGAGGACTCTATTGAACCCTTGTACTGCTATTTGTCCACTTGTCTAGTGCTTCTTTGGTTTCAATATCATTTTGGGAAACACTTGGTGGTGATTTAAAACTACGTCAGCTTTCCTCCTCATTCCCACGTCTTACGTCGACCTTATGAATTTTTTATTGATGCAAATATGATCCATCTGGTTCTGTGTAGTTTGATCTGGTCAGCCCCCTGTAGTTTTTGGTATGCGTTTGTGAAGGCTTATTTTACCGTCAATAACCATTTTGTTGAATCCACATGTTTTCATATGCCACCATTCTCGTTCCTTTCTCCCAGTCAGTCCATGTCGTCCCATGATATCTTCATGCTCGGTGTTGTCCATTCCGGATGGTCAGGTTTTTTTCTTGAGTACTTCACCATGATTGATTTCAGCTTATCATAAAATTGATCTTTATTGCCGTCGTTTCTATTATTGGTGGGTGCATAACATTGGATAGCATTCAACGTGATTCCCTTTTTTAAGGATGCTTTGGTGATCGTAGATCCGGGAGATCACCACCCTATAAGTACGTCAGATTCTTCTTTGGACAGCATCAAAGCAACTCCTTGAATGTGTGATGCATTTTCTTCTTCTCAACTGGAGTACAGTAGCACTTCTTCCGTATCTAGTATTTGCTGTCCAACTTGGATTCAGTGAATTTCGTTGATTCCGAGTACTGCCAACTTGTATCTCCTCATTCCCGTAACTGTTTGACTGGTCCTCCCGGTCTCACGCATTGCCCGGACAATCTATGCACCTATAGAAATTGTTGCATTAGTTGTATGAAGGAGCGCTGGTCCCGTGATTTCCAAAGAAATCTCAGGTTTAACCATGAGGAGTCATAAGTCGTCCTTCAACTCCTAGGGCATATACATATTAGCCAAATAACAATATATAAATATAAGCATGTAAAATTTGATTTCTTAAAATATTATATTATACCATGGGAAATGGAGATGAAACAAAATGTTAACTAGTGTCTTACGTGCAATAGTCGTTTAAATCTTCTGGAAATCTTACTCTTCTTCCAGAACGCGTTGTTTTAATTTCATTTTCAAATACTGTCGAAGTATTATCTAGCGTGTTGGTTGTCGGATGAAGTATTATAAGACTCGGAGTCGTGTCGTTCGATTGTACCGAAGGAAAATCGACGTAGATAGGATTTCCTACTAAATACTCTGCATTGAGGCGATCGATGCTGATGCTATCGTTGGTTCCGTTTTTATCGTTTATATAGTACCAAGGTTCGCGTTGAACAACTTTGAAAGGTCCTTCGTATGCTGATTCGAATGGTCGTCGATGCGAGTCTCGACGTACAAAGACGTGTGTACTATATCATAAGTCGGGTTGAACGAAAACATCAGTTGATTGAGGCCGAGTGGAAGTAGGTTTAACTGAACGCATTGCGTTTGTAAGCTTGTTCGCGTAGGATGTTGAATCCATGTTCATTGAAGAGGATGAAGGATCCACGCATTCGAAGTGTCGTTTCATAAACGAGTTAAGCCGCAGTGCATCCAATGTCAGCACTCACTGCACTGAGAATACCTAGTTAGACGAGTGGAAGAGCGTCAGTCTACTGTGAAAGGTTTTCAGCTGATAGTGAAGCTTTTAGTTGTCGGTGAAAGCGTTTTACCAACTCATTTGCTTGTGGGTGTGAAGGGGTCGTTCGGAAGTGAGTGATTCCTAAAAGTGTGGTCAGACAATAGAAAAGTTCAGATTCTAATTGACATCCACGATCTGTAGTGATGGTTGAAGGGTAGCCGAAGTTTGCTGCCCATCGTTTGACGAAGGCGCGAGCCACTGTTTTAGCAGTGATGTCCTTGATAGCTACTGCTTCTGGCCATCGAGTGAAACGGTCTACGCAGGTAAAGAGATAAGAGTATCCATTCGAATCTTGTAAAGGTCCCACCAAATCCAAATGAACATGGTTGAAACGAGCATCGTGAGGTTTAAATGAGCCTTAAGGGACATTTATTGTGTCTGATAACCTTAGATTTTTGGCAGCTTACATAGGAGCGTGCCCACTCCCTCACTTCTTTATTCATGCCAGGCCAGCAAAACCGTTCTGCTATAAGCTTGATGGTTGCACGAACACCTGGATGAAAAAATTTGTGCAACGTATTGAAGACGTCGCGTCGATAATGTTTCGGCACGATTGGGCGATCCCTACCTGTAGATGTGTCACAAAGTAAGGTTTCCTTACCTGTTCCCATCTGTTTGATGCAAAGCTTGAGTGTTGTAGACGATAACTCATGCTGAAGATCAGAGTCTTCTTTTTGCAGCTGGGCGAGTTTAAGAAGTTCAATTCCTTAGAAACTGTTCAAGGAAATTATGCGAGATAAGGCGTCTTCAACTACATTGTTTGCTCCAGAAAGATATTGACGCGAGAAATTGCTTCTATTTGTCTGTCCAAAGATTAGAACAAACAACTGTTAATTTCGTTATCCTCATACTCGATGACCGAAGACAAATGAAATGAACAAGAACTAGAATATAAGTGATTGTGAGTGTATATTTAAATATTTGGATTACTATGGCGTTTGAACGAACTAGTGATTCTTTCGTACTTGTTGAATGCTCGATTTCGAATTCTAAATACAATACATTCGTTTGTGCTCATCTAGTACTTCTTGATTCAATTGCGTTATTTCTGGGATTCTTAGTTCATACTGTAATTCAAATACTCGTTATTATCACATTAGCGTCACGATGGAGCCTATGATGGAACGGTTGGACATACATTCAGATTCTGATGCTTTTAAGGATTGCTTTGTAACGTTCGAAGTCTGGGCTTTGACCAAGGAATATTATGAGGATGTTAATGTTGTCGCACATTTCTTCAAATTCATCGGAAAAGAAGCATATAGTTTATTAAAAACTCTGGCTTTACCGAACAAGCCCATTTCGCTTTCTTATATAATTCTCAAGGATCTACTGCTAGGCTATGTTAAGTATACAAATTTCGAATGTCGTAAAGGTGCAAGATTTCGTTGAATGATTCATGAGGATATAAAAAAACCACTACATTACTACGTCATCCCAATCCAGTGCATTCTGAAGGTTATGCAGGTAGTTCATTGAGTTTGGATGCAGTTCACGAAAATGGGCAGAAGTTTGGTCAGTGTTTATTCTGTGGCAAGTTTCACTCTCTTAATTCATGTAAATTTCGTAATTCTAAGTGCTTTAAATGTGGTGATATTGAACGTATTCAGTCAGTTTGTAATACTACTGTACATCTTGCTGCAACTAATATTAAGTCTTGTAATTCTGATTCTATTAAGTTGAGTACTTGTAATGATCATCCATCTTTATCAACGACTTCAAAAGACAGTGTAGAGCCTCTTAGCAGATCAGAGTTAAATAAAACTCAGAATCCATGCGAGACAACGGTTTCTAATCAATCAATTTGTCAGATTTCTCATGTTATTGTACCAAATATGGTTTTTACTAATGATTCACATATTTCTGATGAAATTTCTTACAAATCTGAAGAAAATATGTTGAGTGAGCATAATTATGATCAAAAACCTGATGTAGTTTTGATGAATGCTGATTTTTCCAACGATCCCATGCTCTACAATGAAGTTCCAACATTATTGCGTGGGGGAGGATAGTCTAAAAGACTACGTTTCAAATTCTAGGTAGCGGCGGTTTCAGTGCACAACCAACATGCTGATTACACAATCCTAGGAAGCAGGTGAGTCTGTTCCGATTTCAGTTGTTTATTCTAATGCTATTGCACACATTCTAGATAATACAGAATCCTTATCCAATACACTGTCCGACAGACATAGAATGAACTTGAATAGAAGACGTACA